GCAACTGTGTGATGCCATCATGTCAATATGGACCAAAATCTCTGAGGAATGCTTCCAGCACCTTGTTGAATCTATGCCACGAAGATTTGAGGCAGTTCTGAAGGCAAAAGGGGGCCCAACCCTTTACTAGCGTGGTGTACCTAATAAAGTGGCGGGTGAGTGTACATCACCTGGCCAAATAAAGGTTTAACTAATGTCTATGATGTGGGGTTGCTATGAGGTCTGAATATACTGAAGGACCAGGTGATTCCATCAATGGATTGTTTCTTCCCTGATGACACGGACGTATTCCAAGAGGACAATGCCAGGATTCATCAGGCTCTTATTGTGAAAGAGTGGTTCAGGGAGCATGAGACATCATTTCCACACATTGATTGGCTCCACAGAGTCCATGGAGAGTCTTTGGGATGTGCTGGAGAAGGTCGGACTCTACCATCATCAATGAAAGATCTTGGTGAAACATTAATGCAACACTGGATGAAATAAATCTGCTGACATTGAAGCTCATCAAACAATGTCACAGAGGATGCGTGACATACTGTAATCAAAGCTAAAGGTTCAACCAAATATTAGAGTATGGGACCTTTTTTTGGCCAGGCAATGTACTTCCTGTTTGTTTTTGCTTTCAGATCAAAATGATGTTTCACATCCTGCTGGCTGTGGGGTTTATTGTAAGTGGATCAATATTATTCTAATAATGGGAGGAATGGTGGCCATCTTGGATTTTGAAATGGCAACCCAGTTTTCAAAAAAATCTTCTTTTATGCCTAGACGCAGCCACACACCAAAATGCAAGTTGGAACCTCCCTTTTTTCAAGTAATCAGTCAAGCAAGACGAACCAACAGAGTCGGTACGTACAAGTCCCCTCTTCTCTCCACAACATGGGGCAATAAAAAAGTCAAACTTTACTGATGTTTCTTTCATCCAGTCTAAAGTGTAAAGAGTAACACACAGGCCACGTGTCAAACAGAAAGTTGTAATAATTTTGTAAATGGCTTGAACTTATGTAGCACCTTATCAAATCCACTTTCACCCCAAGGCAAGTTACACTCCAGGCATTCACACACTGATGGCAGTAAGCTACATTGTAGCCACAGCTACCCTGGGGCACACTGACAGAGGTGAGGCTGCCATGCACCAGCACCACTGGACCCTCTGATCATTAGTAAGGCAGGTGAAGTGCCCTGCCCAAGGGCACAACAACTGAGACGACTGGAATGGGGGATCAAACCGGTGACCTTCCTGTTCCAGGACTCCCCTAACCACTCCACCACAGCCGCCCCAAAACATTTCTGTTGCATCTGATCAGTAGCATTGCATAGCTAATTTAAATCAAACAGGCAGATGTTTGCTTGTGCATATTTTTCTGAACCAGTGTTTGGTGTGGAGTAAATACACTAAGACTATCTTTCTCTGCTTCGTCACTGTCAGCACTGTCAGGAAAATGCAGGTAAATAAAATGTCTGCCTCCTTTGGGAGCAGTGATCACCTGTGATTTGCATGTTCATTGTCAGTTTACTATACCAGAGCCATCCAAAACATCTGAACCAAATTATTATGCTTAGAATAATGCTCCTTTTCCACTAGTGCCACTTAGTGTAGTGTCGGTACGGTTTGGTACAGTTCCAAGCCATTTCCATCAGGTCAGATCCATGGAACCGGCCCATTTTTTAGTACTTACTTCATTGTGGTTCCAGCCGACCCCAGCTGACACCAAAATGCGACGTCAGAACACTGTTCGTCACTGATTGGCTAAATTTTTGCAAATGTTTAAAATTTCAAAAGTTATTCATCAAATGTGTTTCCAACTCTCATTTTCTCCATTAAATTTTATTCAGAAAACCTAAAAACCACCTCCACCAACCGCCCAAAACACACCCATTGGAACTGGACTGGAACATCAGTGGAAAACCAACCGGTCTGACCCGTACCTACACTGACCGTTCCGACACTACACTAAGTGACACTAGTGAAAAAGGGGCATAAATGTACTATTACACCTCTAATGCACAAAGAACTGAACCCTGTAGCAACAGAAACAGAAACTGGATCTGGTACTACCCAATTTGGTACCCAGATGAGCTCACCTTTGACGATCCGCTTGGCACAAGTGTCGTACACCTGAACCTGTTCGGTGTTTGGAGGAAGGACTCTGTCAAAGACATATGGCTTACCCTGAAAAACAGGAAACAAACTGTCAAGTACAAGTCTCAGAAGGGACAGGAACAGCTAAACTACAATACATTTAGTTTATTCAGATCAAATTTTAGCTCTCAGTCTGAGTGACTGCATAAGTACTTCACCTATTTTCCACCTGAAAACACAAAGACTCACAAAGGTTAACCCAAAACACACACTAAAGTACACACAGGAAGTAATCAGGTTCTACAGTTAACGGTTTTGTCAGTGTAGTAATTAGGTGTTTAATTATAAAGAGCTCTGACTAGTTTTCTGTTCGATTTCCATCACATTCTCCTTTTTCCCCCAAGCATTCCAGCTTTGATATATGATGTGAAAAATAACATCAAAACATGCAATTTGGGTTAGGAATAGTGTAGCAATACATTCTACAATATAAACAATATTTGTCAAAAAACAGCAAGAAATTTCCCCTCCGAACAAAACTTTGAGTGTGATGACACACAAGCTTTTGAACTGTCTGTTTAAAACCTTTGAAAACAAATCATTTTTGGTACACAAACCAAACAACATGAAATGTGGATAATTTTGTCTTCTTTTACTCATCACACGTGTTACTAATTAATACCTACAGATTTCTCTTGGTTCCCTCCAGAACAGCCCAGCTTCTTTACACTTCGGATTTATTTGAACTAAAAATTTCTCCTAAACACTGAAGTAAAGACTCTTTTTAACTTGTCCTTCATGGAGCATGGTATAAATATCAAAATGAACAAGGGACCAGCAGTCTTCTATACTCAGTTCAAAATATAGTTAGTTAGTTAGTTAGTTAGTTAGTTAGTTAGTTAGTTAGTTAGTTAGTTAGTTAGTTAGTTAGTTAGTTAGTTAGTTAGTTAGTTAGTTAGTTAGTTAGTTAGTTAGTTATTAGTTAGTTTATTCATTTCTTTAAAAAAAACAACATAAATTCAACAAATAACAAAAAATACAAATCACAAATTAAATGAAAGGTAGCAGAAGAAGATAAAATCTTATATCTGCCCCTTTTTCTCAAATAAATAAATAAAATCAAAAATAATCTTTAGTTTATTAAAAAAACAACAAAGGTTTAACCAACAATTCATTCATTTACATATTATATTTCCAAAGCAAATAATTCTTTATCATTCTCTTCAACAGACTCATTGATCTGGCATTTTTAATGTCATCTTCCAGATTATTCCATAATCTTATACCCTGGACAGAAGTGGTCCGTTCCTTTAAACTAGATCTAACTTTAGGTTAAACAAACACCTGTATCCCTTTGAGAAGATAACAACTCTCTTTTAACAAASWGGAAYTRGATGTTTGAAGGTAAATTTACAACATGAAACAGTTTTTTCTGCAGCAACAGTTTGAGGCTTAATGAAAAGAAAAATAAGTAGGTCCTCTGGATGTTTCATCTCTCCTCCTTCAGWCTTCTTCAGGCTGAGGAGTTTCAGGTGAACTCAGCTTTATAAGCTCCGCCTCCACCTGGTGGACAAACAGGTTGGTCATGTTTCATCCAGAGGACTTAATTCTTTTCCTTTATGATTTTTCTACCTGGATTACTGAGATGCATCAGGACTGTTTGAGGTTTACTGTTCAGTCTGTGTTCATTAACTTGGCAGTCAGGGAGTGACAAACAGATGTGTGGTTACCATGGTAACCATACTGATCCAATGGTCATGACTTAAACATCTTTTATCTTTCCTCTTCTACAGCTCAAACATCAGATGTTGTTTCTTTTAAATGATTACAGAGATGGAAAAGATTGAGCAGCAGATGCAGTGATACCCTCACATACTGCTGCAGACATGTAATAATAATAATACAAAGCCTGACACAGTCTCAGTTTCATTTAATAAGAACCTTGTTGCCATGGAGACTGCATTCACTGGGAAGCAACTGAAATGATGGAGTGAGACAAAAGAAAGATGAGATTCCAGACACACACACTTTTTTCTCTAACACACAAACTGTGCAGCATTATTAATATATAATGAATATAAAATTTAGTAAGGCTGCACAATATATACAATTATTGTCATTGCAGTAACAACCTGTGCAATAGGCATTTTGCCAAAAAATGCATAAACTGCAATAAATAGTTGTCTCAAAGCTTAAAGTATTTAGCTAATCAAATGGAGCCCTTCACATATTTGACCAATTAGATGGATCCTTTTATATTTTTTTAAAAACTCATGCAGGAATGAAATGATATATTAGTTTATTTTTGCTTTGCTCTGAGCCCTGAGCAGAAATAATGCTTACTGAAGTATTTGTTCACTTTTCACAAGTCATGTTGTCACCACAACAGTAAGCACTGCTATCACACACTGTGAGTTTTATATCGTTCAGCCCTAACATATAACTGTTTTCTCTGAATTTATTTTTCATTTTAAAAGATTGGATTAATTAACGGACTGATGGATGATGGATGGATGGATGGATGGATGGATGATGGATGGATGGATGGATGATGGATGGATGGATGGATGATGGATGGATGGATGGATGGATGATGCATGATGGATGGATGGACATATGGATAATGGAAGACAGACAGATGGATGATGGATGGAAGGATGGATGATGGATGGATGGATGGATGGATGATGCGTGATGGATGGATGGACATATGGATAATGGAAGACAGACAGATGGATGGATGGATGGATGGATGGCTGGATGGACGGACGGATGGATGGATGGACGGATGGACGGACGGATGGATGGATGGACGGATGGACGGACGGATGGATGGATGGACGGAT